TTCCGTCTTCTCAAATGTGTATATTTGTGGTTTTCTCAATCTTCTGTGACTGTACAATGAATATTTTGGGCTTTTGGACTGTCTTGGCATTTTCTGGACAAACTATAATCGATCATTTGAGAAAATAATTGGTTGATTGTTCGACAATGAAAATAATAATTATTTGCCGCCCCTAAAATGTGTTTCATTAAATTAACCTGAACTAAATTTCACAGCAATCCATCAAATAGTTGTTGAGATATTTTAGTCTGAACCACAGTTGTGTAGATGAAAACACCACCAAGTTTGTAGGATTCATCCTCTGGGCACCACAAATGTCGATTGTCAACATATCAGTCTGCTAGTGTCCCAAAAGAGAGAAATCTGACTCTAAAACATGGTGTTCAAGCCAGAAAAGGTTGAGAAACTCTTTTTAGATCCCTTATCAGTTCAGTATATAATCTAAAACAAATAAGAATCAATATGGAGGCAGAATGGGAGTGACATTTAAATCCAGCCTGCACTAGTTCATTCAGCTCTACAGACAAACAACAGGGAGGTTTGTTTTCATGGATGGAAAAAAAAATGTTTATAATCAAGAGGAACAAAAGGGAAATATTGGTAGAAAAGATGTGACTGACACTACTGCACACGTTAGCTTAGCATCTCCTCTGTTAGCCAGTGAGTAGCAGGTTTATGAATGTGGAAACCACCAGAGAGGAGAAGTGTGTGTTAACATGCCATGCTAAGTAGCTAGCCATCAAAAAAGGTACTTTTCATTCATCAAACTGGCAGGAAATGATCATTTCCAAACATGAAAATTACAACAATAAGGTTTAAAGAAATTATGTTGTATGTCATGGGCACACAAATGGAAAATTAAACTTCAATTTAATTAAATGATTTCCTTTAAATATTGACGGTCACAGACTTTCATGTGGAAAAGTTCCACTGTTTATTGTTAACATTAAAAACATTAGTAAAAGGTAACAAAATTGGATTAAACCTTGTAAACTGCAGCATTTATTGAATCAGAAAACTTATTTGTAAAAGCTAAAATCAGTGAGCCTTAATTAAAACACTCTTCTGTAAAAGACAACACTAAAATGTTTGGTTATCAAAAAGCTTTTCGTTAACATTATTTTAAAAAATAAAGCCTCTTTTCAGGTATACAATAACAGTGAAAGCTAGTGTTGTTGTCAAGACCGCCCAAACCGAGACCAAGTCAAGACCAAGACCAGAGTTTATCAAGACCGAGACAAGACCAAGACTTTTAGGGGCTGAAACCGAGTCAAGACCAAGACCAGTTCCCCACATTACATGGCACACAAAATGTGGAACGAGATCATAGGTACTTCTCAAATTGATCTGAAAGATCCACATTCCCATTAAAACACACACATACAAACACTAAGAGCTGAAATCAACATAAGCATCTTTATTCAACACAATACTTACAATACTAGAGAAGGGGGGACAGTCGTTAACGGGAACAACACATTTTTTATTAGGGTTATTGGTTACATTTAAAGAAATACGCTTTACATCTAATCAAAGTTAGGATGTTAACAAATACTGTAAATCAGACAATGCAAAAGCAATTTATTGATATTTCCAAAGTTCAAAACTTGAAATAAAATCCAGAGTCCTCAATGACCGAGACAAGACAGAGTACAAATGCGGTCGAGTCCGAGACGAGACCAAGACCATCAAAAAGTGGTCTTAAGACCGGTTTCAAGTACTACAACACTAGTGAAAGCCATCTGTTATTTTATACCTTAAGAGTCTTAATTTTTCATTTGTCATTTGGTAAATCATGTGGGTTCTTTCACCCATTAAAATCTCCTTTCCTTGCAGGAAACCCAATAAAACGCTATATTACAATACATTATGCTCAATTAATCCATTAGTCATCCTCTTAAAACCCATAAAAACACCAAAATTACATAGTTATTTATGGTATTACAAAAAAAAGCTAGTTCTTTACACTCTTCCAAAAAGTGCCATCACATGAACGACAACTCAATATTTTGCTTCCAGTAATGAATCCTTATGTGACGCATAATATATATATATAAATCTCATAATGTCTGTCGATGACTCTCAGGACCTGGTGGGCTTGGAGAAGGACCCCCCTGTCGCCCCCCCAGATACAGTGTCTTCCACGTGATTGTAGGGATAAATCTAAAAATGTCATCTCTGTACGGAGATTTAAAATAATAACAAAGGCTTTCTAAAAGCAGGTGTAGATAAAAGCAACAGACGGACGCTTGGTAAAACTCTTGTTCTGTCATCTTCAGTCCGTTTCATTTCTGTGTGTCCAGGATGTGTTTAGCCTAGCTTAGCATAAAGACTGAAAGCAGGGGGAAACTGTTAGCCTAACTCCTTCAAAAACAGAAAAAAAAATCCAACTTCAAAACAGCTCAAATGGTTTGATTAACGTGTTGCATGTCAACTACTTGCATTTGCATTACATATATTAAGGCATTTTAATGTGCTTGGATTAAGGGTCTTTAAGCACCTCTGAGTTTATACCTTAAAGTAACTTAAGTTAATTAAGGTTGGCTTTGTTACACGGAAAAAGCTACAGGATTTACCACAGATTTGGGTTCATTAATAGAAAATTTTAGATATTATAATGCTTT